GAGAGCTGGACCATAAAGAAGGCTGACCACCGAAGAATTGATGCGTTTGAATTGTGGTGCTGGAGGAGACTCTTAAGAGTCCCCTGGACTGCAAAGAGAACAAACCTATCCTTTCTAAAGAAATCAAGCCTGAGTGCTCACTGGAAGGACAGATCCTGAAGCTGAGGCTCCAATACTTTGGCCATCTAGTGAGAAGAGAAGACTCTCTGGAAAAGACCCTGATGTTGGGAATGTGTAAAGGTAAGAGGAGAAAGGGACAACAGAGATGGATGGACAGTATCATTGAAGCTACTAACATGAATCTGACCCAACTCCGGGAGGCAGTGGAAGACAGGAGGACGTGGTACGCTCTGGTCCATGGGGTCACGAAGAGTCAGACATGATTTAACGACTAAACAACTAAATGTTTTCAAGGAGAAAGATGGAGTAAAAATGTTTTAAAACATTTTTAAAACATAAAACAAGCAAGCAAAGAAACAAATAAGATCACGACCTCTTCTTCTGCCTGAATTACTAATTGCCCCTGTATACAGGGAGCTTCATTATGATGAGCCAGACCACTGGTCCATATAGCCTAGTAAGGCCTGCAGTGACTAGGAGCAGATCTCTATGATTTCAGGCAAGGATTTCTTTGTCCCTCCTGAAGAAAACCCATGAACATTTTCATACAGACGGCTGGGTGGTGGCCCTTCCCCTAAATTCCATTTCCAAAATATGCATCAACCAATAGTCTATCTTATTTGCAGACAAGCTAGGATGGGGATGCTAGAGAGCTGGCACAAAAAGTGTGATTAGTCATAGTGCCAAACAGTGAAAACCGAGAGAAATAATCTGAGTCTGCTTGGATAAATATGGCATTGACTGCTCTCTGGCGGCTCTTTCTTCCATGCTTTATGCTTCCCAAGTGTGCTATGAAACTGCAGACATATCATCCTCAGTTCATAATGCTTCAAAAGGTAAAAAAAGAGCAAAATTTCAAAGTTCTCCATAACACTGACCTCGCCGTGACTGGAAGGCTCAATCTCAGAGTATCTCTGGTCACACACGGCCTGGTTGACATGCGTTGGGACCTGGGTAGGGATGCCAGGGAAGAGCTTGGAGCAGTTGAAGGCAAAGTAGCGATAAATCTTCCAAGTGTGCCCGAAATCTGACGAACGTTCTATCAACATGGCTGCTGGGCGGAATGTCTGCAAGAGAAAGGGAGGCCAAGTGGAGAGCTTATTTTCAAGATCGTTTCTCTAGCTAAACCTCCTCACCTTGAATACTCCATTTAAAAAAAACTGTATTAGCAAATACCTATATTGTGGAATTCCCAATTACTATGTACAAATGCTAAACAATGAAGGAAGCTGACAAGATAAAAAACAGCTTAAGACTGGAAGACTAAGCTTTGGAGGGCAGCCATGAAGGAACTTGAAAACTATTTTAAGCATAAGGGTATGTCACTGGAGACTAAGGCCAAGATTATCCATATCTTGGTATTCACAATTACTGTGTATGCATGAGAGTGCTGGGCAGTGAAGAAAGCTAACTGAGGGGAAAAATTATTCATTCAAAATCAGAGGTTGGAGGATTGGTTTGTGAACATCACAAACTGCCGGAAAAACAAATACAGTGGTGCCTCACTTGACGATGTTAATTCGTTCCAGTGAAATCGTTGTAGAGCGAAAACATCATCAAACGAAATTAAAAAACCCACTGAAACGCATTGAAAACCGTTCAGTGTGTTCCAATGGGCTGAATACCTGCTCATTCAGCAAATAATCTCCATACAGTGGCCATTTCGGTGCCTGTAAAGCGAGGAATCCATCCTAGAAAACGGGGGGGGGGGCCCATTTTCTTCAGCCGGCGGCCATTTTGAAACCAGATGATCAGCTGTTTGCTGATCGTCATAAAGCGAAAATCGGTTCCTGAAGCAGGGAACCGATCATCGTTAAACGAAAAAACCCATTTAAACCATCGTTTGCGATCACAAAAGCGATCGCAAAAACCTAATCGTACAGCGTTAAGTGAGGCAATCGTTAAGCGAGGCACCACTGTAAGTGGGTCCTAGACCAGATCAAACTTGCACCCTCTCTAAAAGTGAAAACTATTAAATTGGTGATCATTTTATACTTTGGACACACTATGAGAAAACAAAATTCACTGGAAAAGACAGTTGTACTAGCATGGAGTAGGGAAACAGACCTAACATTGACACAATAAGGGAAGACACAACCCTGAGTTTGCAAGAGCTGAACAGAGCTGCAAATGATAGGACCCTTTGTAATGTATTAATTGATACAGTCACCATAAATAAGGCGTCACTTAATATAATAAAATACAAAAGTGTGAATGATCTTGGTCTTGGTTTCCAGTGACACATCCTTACACTGCATCATCTTTTCTAATTCCTTAATTACTGCCCTTCTGAGTCTCGGTCTTCTGATTTCATGACTGCAGTCTCCATTAGGGCAGGGTAGAAACAGATATTTAATAACAAGAGGACAATCCTGACACCCGATTGTTACAGGGAGCAGTATCTAAGAGTTGCCATTTTCAGTGGTGTTCTTGATTTCATCAGTGGTGCTCTGCGACCCTTTGTATCTGCAGTGCTGCTCTGGAAGTATTTAGTACACAAACAAAACCAAAACTCTTGTCTCTCTGTAGAAGACCCAGTACCTTAAACTTCATTATAAGGTGAGTAAAATGGAATTCAGCTTCTAGGTCCAGACGGATGCTGACTTGTTCTACACCTGGATTGGGGAAAAAGACAGGTGTTAGACCTCCCACATCTCTCCGATTCAGTCATTTGCAATGAAGAAGAGGACAAGAACATTCTACATAGATCTCCCCCATTTTTCATGACCATGTCACCGTGGTAGTAGGGCTTGTCAACAGGGATATTACAGAAGGCATGGAGCCATTCAGTACGTGGTGAGGCTGCAGGTTAAACCGCAGAAGTCTCTGTGCTGCAAGGTCAGAAGGCCAAGCAGTCATAAGATCAAAACCACGCGACAGAGTGAGCTCCCATCACTCGTCCCAGCTCCTGCCAACCTAGCAGTTTGAAAGCATGTAAAACGCAAGTAGATAAATAGGTACCACCATGGTGGGAAGGTAATGGCGTTCCATGTCTAGTCGTGCTGGCCACGTGACCACGGAAACTGTCTACAGACAAATGCTGGCTCTATGGCTTGGAAACAGGGATGAGCACCGCACCCTAGAGTTGAGCACAACTGGACTAAATGTCAAGGGGGATCTTTACCTTTACCTATGGAGCCATTCAATGTTTAAGAAGAAGGGTACTGTACCTACACATAGTACCTTTCAACTACATTGGCTCTAGGGGAGATAATCCCCTGGATTTCAGTCATGCTGCCAGCCATTCTTCTTTTCTTGTATGCATACACATGCTTTGAGATAGAGCCTCGGGCTATATTTTTTTTTTCAGAGCCTTCATAATACTATGATAGAGATGCAGTTGCCTGCGGCTATGTACAATAATTCCCCCTCCCACTTTGGTTTCTGGCTCTACTCCTGGAGGCAGCTAGCAACCGAAATGCTTAAGCACAGACCACAGTGGAACTGGAAGAAAAAAAGTTGTGTGTGCCCCAAGGCAACAACAGATCTATCACATGGTATTCAGAGCTATGAAATAATTGTCACATATACGTACAGCCACAGCTATTGCGTCAAACAACACCTTATGATGGAATAGTGTCGATAACAGTTGTAGAAGAGGTAGCTGTGTTAGTCTGTGCAAGCATTATAAGTAAAAGCAGAATGTTCACTTTTTATTTCTATTTTGCTTTTACCTATAATGATGTAGAAGTGTTTTTGTCTGTTTCAGGCTTCTACACACAGCAGCTGGGAGACTCATAGGCCTAGTGAAGAGGCTAATTATTTACTCTCTTACTATTTTCCTTCCCTTGTGTTTCTAGTTGTGCCATTAGAAAAATATATATAAATAAACATATAATATTTATCTGGCCTTGATTTCAAAGGAAGCAAAAATAATTGAGTATAGCTGAAGATGTATGTTAGATTTTAGGAAAGCTGATTTTACCCAAAACAAAGATAAGTAAAGTCCCTTTTCGTAACAAGAAAAAGGGTCTAGGATAGCCGGGAGATTCTTTAAAAAAAATTTAAAAAAAATATAAATTATAAATAATCCCAACAAGAAAGAGATGTAGGACAGCAAAAAAAAAAAAGTGGTTTCACAAAAAGCTCAGAGAGGACCAGAGACAAAAGAAATCCATACAATATAGGAAGTGGAAAGGTCATGTCACAAAGGAAGAGTACAGAGAGGGAGCAAAAAAATTGTACACCATTCCATCATAAGGTGTAAACAAAGAATCTTTCAAACTATTGGGATGGATTCACACAGTGTATCTATTGGAACCCATAGCTTTCAATCAAAGAATGGCAGAGTTTGGACTCATCTCAGATGTCATCCGGCCTGACCACCTGATCAATGTGAGACCTGCAATGAAGAATACAGCTCCAGCATCCCCAAAAGATACCCATGCAGGTCTGTTTAAATCCCTCCGGCAAGGAAAAGTCCAATACTGTACCCCTTGACACAGTCTGTTCCACTAATATAGTTCCAACTATTCTATATGTTTTAATATTTATAATTTATTTATATTTCATCAAATTGTTCCTTAGTTATATACTATAAGCTACTTTGCTTCTCAAGTTGGAAGAAGGCAAGGTATAACTCAAATGAAAAAACAAAACCCAATTAGAGCAGATGCACTGATTCAACGGAATTTGCGTAAGCATAAACATATAATGATTCAACAGGTCTATGGAATTTGGAACTAAGAGATGGATTTAGGGAAGGAGGTTTTTTAAAATTGGCTTCCCTGAAAGTTCTATCTAATGGCCAGTTGTAGAAGCAACTGTAGCTATCCTGTGAGACTGTAATGGGGTGACCAGAAAGGCAAATAGCACTTTGCCAAATGGTGAGGACCACCTCTGTAAGTTTATTTTTAGACAAAGGGATATCCAAATGGATGTCGGCCAGTGTTTCTATAGCCCTGTCCTCTAGAGACATTTCAGCTTGTCCATCTGCAGGACAACAGCTGCGGACAAGCTCTAAGCTGAGATGTGAAGGCAAGGGGAACTGAAAGAACACAACAGGGAAACTTCTTTCTTCTAAGCCTTCTCAAAAAACTAATTCCCCACTTTTTCTCAAAGCCTTCAAATCTATAATTAAAAGACTGTGTGGTTATGCGTGTTTTTATTAGCAGAAACCTGTGCAATTTCTTTCTTTCTCCCCCTCTCTCCCTCCCTCTCTCTCTTGCTCACCCTCAGATCTAAGTAAAATCACAAAGAAAAGCATCTCGCTTGGCGGAAGCAGATCCTACAGATGGACAGCCTCTGTCTTCATTTCTGGCTGAAGACATATTGCTGCCTAAGGCAGAGCAGCAAACAGTGCCCTCAGCTCACCAAAGTCAAGTTATCCAAGTGTCAACTCAACCTAGTCAAGTTATTTGTGCACATGAGACAGAAAATCCTTCAAGTATCTCTCCTCAAGCTCTGAGCATAAAATAATAAATTAAGTTAGCTAGCAATTTGATGTAATTTTCATAACACCCTAAATCTTCTGCCTCTGGCACCTGCTTCACCTTGTCTAACACTACAGTGGTGCCTCGCTTAACGATTGCCCTGCATTACGACAAATACATTTTACGACAATCTTTTTGCGATCGCGATCGTGATCGCAAAACGATGGTCTAAATGGGGGAATTTTGCTTAGCAATGATAGGTTCCCTGCTTTGGGAACCAAATTTCGCTTTACGACGCATCGCAAAACGATGGTCTTGGGTTTTCAAAATGGCCACCGGGTGCTTAAAATGGCTCCCCGCTGTGTTTAGGGATGGATTCCTCGCTATACAGGCAGTGAAAATGGCCGCCGTATGGAGGATCCTTGCTGTACAGTGAGTTTTTACCACATTGGAACGCATTGAACAGGTTTCAATGCATTTCAATGGGATTTTTAATTTCGTTTTACGATGTTTTCGCTTAACGGCGATTATCTTGGAACAGATTCTCGTTGTTAAGCGAGGCACCACTGTATGGCTGGCCCAGTGAAGATCAAGAATCTTGTTCAGCAACTTTGAAACAGCTGTCCCATGGATTTCATGCAGCACAGAAAGGAAAGATGGGGCAATGGGTTTTGCACGATTGGTTGCAGGAAACTTGTTTCGGCCTAAAATTAATAAGGGGTTTGTCCGAAGGGTAGGCTCTGCTTTTAAATGTCTCGTTTATTGTACCTTACCATTCTCAGACTGCCACCATGTCTGCTCTCCATCCTGGCCACTTAGGTAGATGACATTCTCAATCCGGTGGCTCTCACGTAATGATGGTGAGCGTGAGTCACATGTGAAGCATTTCTCAGAGTCCTGTCGAAAGAGTCACAATGGACTGAAAGTCAGCAAAAGTACCACAGACGTCATCAAAGAACTCAAGCCAGGGGATCGGGAAATCATTCTGGATAGACACGCTATCCTCAACCACCTTCAAGACTCAAGCACTACAGACAACCAATGGAGCTCAAAAATAAAAAAGGGTGGCTTGGTATGCTATATGTTGTGTAACACACTCTGAGTCTATACACAGCTTCTCTGTACAACGAGCAATCAGCTTCAAGCCTGTCTTGAATACAGGAATATAAAAAGCAGCCTTAAACCGAGTCAGACCACTGGTCCATGTCGTCTGACATTATCAGCTCTGACTGACAACAGATCTCCAGGGTTCCCCAGCCTTCCAAACCTGAGAATTCTTGGCACTCCTTGGCGGTCTGCCAAACACTATTTAGATTTAATTCTAGTTGCCTTCTGGAATCAGAAAAGATCAGACGTGTTCTGGATAGTACAGCAGTCTTCTTGCAATCTGCGCTGATTTCTCCCCTAACTCTGCCTTTGGGCTTTCCTGGAGAAAAGATTTCCTACTGAGACTACTACATACGTACCTTGCTTGAGTCTCAAGACTTTCTGAATTGGAGTCCATTTCTTCCTGCTCCTATCTCTGATTCCCCAGTTTTGTCCTTTGGCTCTGTCTCCACTTTTACAATCCCCTCCCCAGCTTTCTAGACCAACATATGCCCCCCTAAATTTTTACACTCAGAATCACTTCACAAGGATAGAAAAACAACTTCCCACTATAAATGGGCACGAACTACCAATTCAGCAGTTCGTGCCGATTTGTTTAGCAGCTGAACAGGTGCTCAGCACTTCAAAGCCCTGCCTCCTCTGGCTGCCGCCCACTCAGAGGCAGTGCCCAGAGGAGGCAGGGCAGGGAGGTCAGGCTGTTGCCTCCAAGTGGGTGCCCACTGGAGCAGGTGTGGCTTTGAACGCATCGTTCAGTGATTAAACAAAATGGCACAAACTGCCAAAGCGGTGGTTTGTGCCCATGTTTAGTTTCCACATTTCAAATTCAGACCCAACATGCCTTTTCTGTTACATTTGATAAGTACTTGCACGTTTGAGAACTTACTGTAAACACATATCCAGAAACTACATCTGACCACCTCTTTGACTGGCTGTTGTCTTGCCTTTGTCCGGCATTCAAGTAACATTACCTGGAGATGGCTGACAATGCAGTACTCCTGAGGCCCTTCCAGGCCACACGTTGAGGTCGCACTCAAGTTTTGGGCTCTCCCAATGAGAAGATTCCCTGTGGCTGGGTAGCAGCTCCCCTCCGAACAGCCATGGTGTAACAGGTCAGGCTCTTCCGTGCCCTGACCTTCAGCTACCTGGACTGTCAAAAAGAAAGGGAGAGCCCAATATAACCACAGTTTATTCAATAGGATTTGTCTGTTTTCATTGCCATGATGAGATTTCCACAGAAATATGCGCCTCAGCAATCAAATATGAAAATTAAGGCCAGTGACCAATTCTAAAATATCGATGTAAGGTACAGAGGTGAGGAAA